TGTCGCTACGGTACACCCACTTCTCGGGTTGCTACCACACGATATGCCCATCTTTTCCTAAGCCACTGCCCCACGACACACTCATCACTTTTGTCATTTGACTGTCTGCATCTGCATTTGCATGTTTACATGGATAGCAAGCCAGACTAAGTAGGTGAGTGACCTCGTGTCGGTCGCGATGCCTTAATGAGCATTGTTTGTCGGGTTGATCTCGATGAGCAATACAAGTTAAGTCATCAGGATTGACATGAGTATGATTGTGCTAAGGATCAATTTGATTTAAATTGTGTCACCCATCTTCTTGACGCCCTTTAGATCATTCAGATTTTTAGGACGGCGCCGGTATGACGATCCTGTCAAAGTCATATTGTACCCAGAGACTTGACCCTGCACTTAGGTACTATATTAGGACACTTTTCGTTAGATTATGTGCTAGGCTATGATTTAGGTTGTTATGTAGTCTTTTTAATGCATGACTATTGTTCTCTGTTAGATTGGTTACCCTAGTAAGTATCTTTTTTTTGCATTATGACTGTGGTGTGACTGCATGTTTCATATGCATGGTAGTGTGTTGTGACATTTTTCTGCATGGAGCTGTTCCTACTTATATGCACACACAAGTACCGCTATGGGGGGGAGCATGTGATGATTTCTGACCCTTTTGCTTGCAGGTGCTATTTAGCTCCCCCACTTATCAGACACGGCTCATTACACGTTATATGTATGTGAGTTTTCTCGCTAACATTTATTTTCATGCAGGATTTAATTTTTTTTCTTTTCTTATGTACTTTTAGAGTCTAGGAGAGTCCTGTAACATAAATAAGATATTGGCATGAGTTCCGAAGCGTTTGGTGTGGGAATCACGTGGAGGGGTAGAGGAGCTGATGCTCGTGCCCCGTATCTTAATTCTGCATTTTTATTTTGATATATAGAATTAAAACCGGGCATGTATATGCGAAGTCTAATCTCTTTTACTGGTTTTCCTAGGATATGTTGTTGGTCCAACAGCATTTTGATCTCTTTTATTTTATTATGGAGTGTTTTCTTTCCTGTTTTATTACATACTTGTATGTCTGCCTGTGTTTTCATTGTTTCTTGTTGTGATCTGGGATCGTTTTATACGTTTTCTTTCTATTTTAACTTAAAAATCATAAATAAAACATACAATATAAATTAAAATTTAGGATTAAAATATTCAAAATTTTAAAAATCTACACTTTTATTTCCTGCATGGGTTGCATTGCATGGTTATCACCCAAGTCATATTAATATGGCTTCACAATGATTAAGAACTGCTTTAGATAAATGCATTCATATTTACATGTTCCGAGGATGAGTCGTCATGCCTCTTCAACCTGACTAACCCAGCATACATTTATAGGTGGTTGTCTAGTGTGCCTAGGGTGTTAGAAAGCTCTCCGACCCAGACGAGATGTAAGTCATTTTGCTTGGAGTGTTTCTAGCTTTGTAGCTGAACCTTTGCTTCTCTTTCTTTCCTAAGACATCCTTGCCACTTTGGCAGGTGTAAGACCCAACTCTTGGAGCTCCAGCTGATAGTAATAGGATAAAGTTTCGTTCCCCTGACCTTAGGGCTTCTGAGATCCCCCGTGGGTGACGTAATTCATGAATTGCTGCTCGGCGATTTCAGGACGTGCTGGGTCAACTACCTTCATGACGGGGTAGACTTAGGATCCTAGTAGCTGTGGATGACGGGTATGTGGTACCTCGACCTAGTTACCTCTACCCTCTAGAATTACTCTACCTTCCTTTTGTTGAGCCCCTTTGAGCCCTGTCGCTCATTTGACTTCGTTGATATCATTTTAACGACCCGATATCGATGATCTGCCGCCTGTTTAGGACACAACGATTTTTCCTCTACCCTTATGGCCCAGACTTGCTTTGATGTGTTGGGATATCCCCGTCAAGATGATTTAGGTTATTCCATGAACTCCGTATGTCGATGAGCCGCTACCCATTTGGGATGTGAGAGACTCACTCTCTGCCCGATGGTTTAGCGTGAGCTTTGAATCATCGGGAATTTTCCCATACGGAATAACTTTCCATCGAGTAATATTGCTCCAGGATCACGATAATCCAAGCGAAACTCTTTTTATTGAGAGTGTTCTTGGGTACCCTCAAGATGTAATTAATCAAGTGGGATATGTCCTCTTGGGAGTGCTCTTAACCCCAAAGCATGCACCTACACCTGAATCTCTGATTATGGGTAGTCTACGTAGATATTCTTTCACGGATATTGGTCCAATGTGCCTCCACCCGATCTTGTTCGGGCGGACATGATTGACCTATCCTTGCGAGGTTTATCACACGTAGGCTCTCCACATTTTGGGGTTTCTCTTGTTTTTCACTTTGTCGTATGTTCTTTCTTATTCGGTTTCTCTCCATTTCAAATCATTGATTTGATTCGGGTTGGAGATTTGTACGAATGGGGGAAGTATACAACGATCGACAAACTGACTACTCTTTCTAAAATAAAAGAGAGAAAAACAAACAGAAATAACTACAGTGATTAGCTTTGATGACATTTATAGGTCATAGAGGCTGGAGTTTGAGGCTGCATAAGTGTTTGACCAAGTAAGCCGTAGTTGGTTATGTATTCTGTAGTCGTGAGACGTGATGAATTATTTAAGTTATAGGGGTTTGAGTTGAGAGTTGTGGACGAAATAGGTCATAGTTTGTCTCGTAGTTCATGTGATAAGGTTTGTAGGCAATAAAGGTTAGAGTCGAGAGCTACATAATCCATAGATCACACATGTCATAATTTATCACACAGGTCGTAGTGGTGAGCTGTGATGATGTTTATAGGTCATATGGGTCAGAGTCAAAAGCTACACGAGTTATGGACCACATATGTCGTAATTGGTCGTGTAGTCAGTTGTGATGACGTTTGTAGGCCGTTGAGGCTAGAGTTAAAATCTACACTTGTTGTGGACCACAACAGTTATAGTAGATCACGTAGGTCGTAGTGGTAAATCGTGATGATGTCGTAGGCCACAAAAGTCAAAGTTAAGAGCTGCATGAGTTGTGGACCAAATAGGTTGTAGTTGGTCACGTAGGTCGTTATGGTGAAATGTGATGACGTCAGTACACTGCAGAGACCGGAGTTAAGAGCCGCAGGAGCTGTGAACCATGTAGGTCATTGGTCTTGTAGATCATAGTGGTGAGTTACAAGTAGAGTGCTTTAGGAGCCCAGAGCAATTCACCATCGTTGGGGTGCTTTTTTACATTGTCTTCGAGATGTGTCATTGTATTGTATATTGGGTGCATTATTACATTGTTATCGTGGTGTGTCCTTGCACCGTATTTGGGGTGTACTTTACACCATATTCAAGAGACACCATTGCATCTATGTAGGGTGTGCTATTCTGCAAAATTTTTCTTTACTCTGCAATGTACACCAGGATATCGTAGTGTGTATCGTGCTTTTGCAAGGGGTTTCATTGCAACGATTTAGGGGCGGCCAGTGATCGACAGTGGTCAGCTACTGTAGGAGTGGGAGGGATTCGTGAGAACTGCAGTTTAAAAGTGATGTTAGACTTTTGCACCTCCCTCATGCTTTTTTGTCTCAAGATATTCTTTTGAAGAGGGAGGTAATAGAGTTTGGGTTATAAATAAGAAAAGAATCTGAACCACTCTAATCAGATGACTTGAAAAAATTCTCTTGATCAGACAATATTCAATAAACATTTGAGTGTCTTATTGATATCAAAATCGAGCAATACTAAGCTTGTTGCAATCATCTTGTCGAGACGTTCGATTTGACTATAGACTTACCATATTCAAAATCCGATTGGTCTTCCAATTATGTCAACAAAGCTCCTGAAAATAGTTTAATGGCTTGATTTAAGTTTAGTTTTACTTAGATTTGACTAATTTTGGTATGGTTGGGTTTGTCTTTTCCAACCAGTTGGTTTGACTATAAGTTTGTTGAAATCAGTGATTTAGACTCTTAATTGACTCTTAATTGAAGTTTAAACATTTCTCACTCAAAAGTTGCCTCAACATTCATGTCATACACAGAGATTTGTGTCAGATGATCAGAATTTATTGATGTCATATGAAGTGTCAAAATATACAATTTTATGTGACAATACAATTAAATAATAATTTTATAAATAATGCTTACATACCAATCAAATCTTCCCGCCATCAGCGGTACATAATGCTTATATAAAAAATTGATCACGATAATGAATGACTAAATAAACTAAAAATACCCTCATTTCTCATTTATCATCACTCTTAGTTCCCTCATCTTTCTCAATTTAGCAACTTCACATATTTAATCCACATAATTTCCCTTACTGTAGAAGCTCAAAATATAATTGGGATAAGATTAATGATGATGATAATGATATTTTATTTTCTGACAAAATTTAATCAAATAGCTATGGTCCGGCTAATCCAGTTATGATTTCTACATCTACGAGCATTCAATAAGGATATTTACCTACAAATATTCTGATTAAGAGAATGTACATCAGAAAAAACTGATATTACAACAAAGATTGACAACTATGAGACAATCAACATGGTGATGCATACAAAGAAAAGGAAGATTTACATGCAAACCACTCAATTACTATGTATTTACATATCTAACACCCAATCTTTAATTTTTGCATGAAAATGAGTTTTTAAATTTTAAAAATTTAAAATAGTACTATTTTTTTGCGATATTAAAGATTTCGGTGTTATACATGCAAAAAATAAAGTTTAGGTATTAGATATGTAAATACATAGACCTTGCATGGTTCGCATGTAAATGCCCCACCCACCTCAACCCACCCAAAAAATATATATATATGAAATAAGTACTATGAAATCATAACCTTTTCATTTCTCATAGAACAATAATTAAAATAATTGCAATGAAATTACATTCCAATTTTTAGATTATTTTCAACTTAATCCAAAAAAATAAAAAAAAATAAAAACCTGTCTGGCTCAGGAACAAACAAATAAATAAAATAATGTAGGAATTAAAGAAACAAAGCTCGGTAGAAAAATATGTCAGATATCACATAAGTGAGTAAAATGCTAATTAATAATCCAATCAAGCCAACAAAGACAATCGTTCTTTTGAGGCTACTTCTCCTTGGCATTTCCTGAAATAAAATGTTCATAATGAGAACGTAAGAAGCACAAAACAAATCCGAGTCATATATAACGATCGACTTTTTCTATATATCGATTTAGGGAAATTTAATTTAGAAGATTTGCACAAATGCCACTCAATTCTTATGTATTTACATATCTAACACCTAAATTTCAATTCTCTACATACGTACCACCTGAGGGTGCTTACCTATAAATGAAAAGATGTATTTAGTTTTTTAGATGTTAAAATGATGGTATTTTTTGTATGAAATGAAATATTTGGGCGGCATAAATGTAAAAATAAAAAAAAATAGGTATTAGATATGTAAATACATAGAAACTAGGTTGTATGTGTGCATAAGCCTCTAAAATTTAAATTTAAGAGGAATATGTGAGCAATTCATTTTTCCTATAAGAGTTATCTTTCTTAAGCAACGCAGGACAAGGAAAATAAGCAAAAGCTTTAGGCATGACATGTAAACCAAAAAATAACAAAATGAAATATTTATATACTCAACATTCAATTCATATGTATTTACATATCTAACACCTAAACTTTCATTTTTTACATGCAGACCACCTTATATATGTATATATCATACTTAAATAAACCCATCATAATCTTAACTCCTTATCTAATCCTAGCCTTTTCACAGAATGCAGAGCAAACTAATACTAGCAGTCTATAGAATTTGAAGAAGTAAATGAGCTCTATTAAAGCCAATATCAAAGAAGAAGGAAGATTTACATACATGCCACTAAATTCTTATGTATTGAAGTATCTAGACCTAAACTTTAATTTTTACATATATGTCGCCTTACTTGAGCATGAAAAAGATGAAATTCACTTTTTAGACAATAATATAGCAGTATTTTTATGTGACATGAAAGATTTGGATGGTATAAATATAAGAAAATAAAGTTCCGGAGTCAGATATGTAAATACATACGAATTAGGTGTTATGTATGTAAAAAACCCAAAGAGAAAACAATAACAACATACTATTTTCTGCTCCAAAAGCTTATTTTGTTGAAGAGTAGAAGCTAGTTTCTCTTGTAGGCGTTGCAATTCCTGGGTCAGCAAAAGTAAGTATGACTTCAAAATCAGTATGTTCTACAATATCTCATCAAGTGTCACAATTCTAATATAAAAGTGTATCACAATATGATAAGAAATCAGAATAGTAAACAACCACTTACACTTACCTTATGAGAGCCTACAGCAGCGTCACAAAATATTTTGATTATTACAACAGTTACACTAGCAAACTTCATTCAACTACGATAAATTACTCAACAAGAACACGTATGAATATTAAACTATTACAGATATGATATAGGGGTTGTAAGGTAATGGATTTAAGTCGGCTTTAACTTGAGCTTGTCAAAAGGAAAAAAAATGACATTAAATGTAAAAATAGGAATTGGATGTTACGTATGTTAAATTTTTTTTTAAAGTAAAAATGGTGATATTTTTGATGTGATAAGAAAGATTTAGATGATATAAATGTGAAAAGTGATGCTTAGGTGTTAGATATATAAATAAATAGTAATTGAGTGTTATGTATGTAAATGCCCCTTAACCAGCCCTCCAAAGTAAAAAAAATGAGGGATTAATTAAAGATTCTTCCCTATAATAAAATAAATCATAATCAACCTGATTGACCAATTGCCTTTGCTAAACTTGCAATCCTTACTTGATACAAATGGCCAAGTCTTAAAGCTCAGGGTTTATGTCCCTAAATCCTACTTAAATAAGCCTATCATAATCTTAGCTCCTCATCTAATCCCAACCTTTTCACAGAATGCAGAACAAACAAATACTAGCAGTCTATAGAATTTGAAGATGTAAATGAGACATTAAAGCCAATATGAAAGAGGAAGGAAGATTTACATACATGCCACTAAATTCTTATCTATTTAAAAATCTAGACCTAAACTTTAAATTTTACATATATGTCGCCTTACTTGTGCAAGAAAAAGTTGAATATCACTTTTTAAACAATAATATAGCAGTATTTTTTCGTGATATGAAAGATTTGGATGGTGTAAATGTAAGAAAATAAAGTTTCGGTGTCAGATATGTAAATACATAAGAATTAGGTGTTATGTATGTAAATGCCACAGAGAAAACAATAAGAACATACCATTTCCTGCTGCAAATGCTTATTCTGTTGAAGAGTAGAAGCTAGTTCCTCTCGTAGGTGTTGCATTTCCTGGGCCTGCAAAAGTAAGTATGACTTCAAAATCAGTATGTTCTACAATATCTCATTCAAGTGTCACAATTCTAATATAAAAGGTATCACAATATGATAAGAAATCAGAATAGTAAACAGGATATATCGACTTACACTTACCTTATGAGAGCCTAGAGCAGCATCACTGAATATTTTGATGATTATAACACTTACACTAGCAAACTACATTCAACAACGATAAATTTTTAAACAAGAACACGTATGAATATTAAACTATTACGGATATGATATAGGGGTTGTAAGGTAATGGATTTAAGTCGGCTTTAACTTAAGCTTGTCAGAAGGAAAAAAAAATGACATTAAATGTAAAAATAGGAATCAAATGTTATGTATGTTAAAACTTTTTTTAAAGTTAAAATGGTGATATTTTTGATGTGATATGAAGGATTTAGATGATATAAATGTAAAATGTAATGCTTAGGTGTTAAATATATAAATAAATAGGAATTGGGTGTTATGTATGTTAATGCCTCTTAAAATTAATATTAAAAATAATAATTGTATGATTATAGTCCTTATTTGGGTAGCACTTTGGCGAAATTACAAACTAATCTGATGAGTAGAATATTATAAATTTTACAAAGAGAAAAACAATAATTTTGATGGTTCATCAGTCCTCCAAAGTAAAAAAATTGAGGGATTAATTAAAGATTCTTCCCTGTAATAAAACAAATCCTAATCAACTTGATTGACCAATTGCCTTTGCTAAACTTGCAATCCTTACTTGATACAAATGGCCAAGTCTTAAAGCTCAGGGTTTATGTCCCTAAATCCTACTTAAATAAGCCTATCATAATCTTAGCTCCTCATCTAATCCCAACCTTTTCACAGAATGCAGAACAAGAAGTCTATAGAATTTGAAGAATTAAATGAGCTCTATTAAAGCCAATATGAAAGAGGAAGTAAGATTTACATACATGCCACTAAATTCTTATGTATTTAAATATCTAGACCTAAACATTAATTTTTACATATATGTCACTTTACTTGCGCATGAAAAAGTTGAATTTCACTTTTTAGGCAATAATATAGCATTATTTTTTTGTGATATGAAAGATTTGGATGGTGTAAAAGTAAGAAAATAAAATTTCGGTGTCAGTAATGTAAATACATAAGAATTAGGTGTTATGTATGTAAATGCCCCTAAGAGAAAACAATAACAACATACTATTTCCTGCTGCAAAAACTTATTTTGTTGAAGAAAGCTGATTTTTTTGAAGAATAGAAGCTAGTTCTTCTTGTCCACTGCTCATCTTGTACTCCCGATGATCCAAATCATAAGACATTAGCATCAAATTAGGGTGTAGATTTCGAATAAATCGATGAAAGAATAGGGCGGAGATCAAAATAGAACCTTCTTCTAGGTATCGA